ATTCAATTAGTTTGATGCTTCAATCATGCCAACCTTCATCTTCAAGTTATCAAAGCTGCTTGTCTTCAAAGGTTTTGTGAGCAAGTCGGCTAGTTGCTCATCTGTCTTGCAGTATTTTACTTCCAACTTTCCATTATTCACCTGTTCTCTTAAGAAGTGAAACTTAGTTTCGATATGTTTGCTCCTACCATGTGCTACAGGATGTTTTGCCAAGTCTATGGCTGACTTGCTGTCAATTCTGAGTTCCATTCTTTCATTCTTTATCAGCTTCAATTCCATCAGCAACATGTTTATCCACTGAGCTTGACAAGCTGCCATGGAAGCTGCAATGTACTCAGCTTCGCAAGAGGATAAAGCCACCACTGGTTCCTTCTTTGAGCTCCATGCAAAGACTGCATCTCCAATCATGAACACATGCTGCTGTGCTTTTTCTGTCATCTTTATCACCACTCCAATCCAAATCTGAGTAGCCTATTAACTCACCATCTTGACCTTTACAATATTGAATCCCATACCTGTGTGTACCCTTCACATATCTCAGGATTCTTTTAGCTGCAATTAAATGCGAGGTGGTTGGTTTCAACATGTATCTACTGATCAACCCTACACCATAAGTAATATCAGGTCTTGTATGACACAAGTATCTCAAGGAGCCCACAAGTTGTTTGAACAAAGTAGGATTTACTTCTTCATCATTTACCAGGGATAATTTTGCTCCTGTATCAACAGGAGTTGAAGCTGGCTTGCAGTTCATCATGTTAAACCTTTTTAGCACATCTTGAGCATACTTCCTTTGATGAATAACCATTCCTTGTGCATTCCTTTCAAACTCAATTCCCAGGAAATATGTGAGACTGCCTAAATCAGACATCTCAAACACCTTCATCATATTTCTCTTAAAGTCATTCATCTCAGCTTCATTGTTTCCAGTAACTATCATGTCATCTACATATAGGCACACAATGAGCTTATCTGTGGTATTTCTGCTATAAATTCCATGTTCATTTACACACTTCATGAAACCTTGCTGAACAAAAAAACTGTCTATTCTTTTGTTCCAAGGCCTTGGGGCTTGCTTCAGCCCATACAAAGCTTTGTTTAGCTTATCGACATAATCTTCCCTTCCTTCTATCTCAAATCCTGGTGGCTGATTCACATACACTTCTTCTTCTAGCTCACCATTAAGGAAAGCTGATTTTACATCTAGTTGGTACATAGACCAATTGTTCTTGACTGCTATTGCCACAATCAATCTGATTGTTTTCATTCTTGCTACTGGAGCATAGATTTCATAGTAGTCCTGTCCATACCTCTGTAAGAATCCCCTTGCTACTAGTCTAGCCTTGTATTTTGCCACCTGCCCATCTGGCTTCAGTTTTGTTTTGAAAACCCACTTAACATCAATACACTTCTTGTTAGCAGGTAGTTGGACTAATTTCCATGTTTCATTCTTTTCTATAGAGTCTAGTTCTTCAATCATTGCTATCTTCCAATGTTTCTGTTTCAGAGCTTCTTCAAAAGATTCTGGTTCAGTTTCAGCAAGCATTGCTAGTTGCACTATGTCACCTTCATCTGTAATTGCTTGATCAGGGAGTCTCTCATAGTCCCTCAACCTGGCTGGTGGTTGAGTATTCCTTGTTGGTCTATTGGTCACTTCTGCACCTCCTCCATTTGTATCTTCACCAATTTCTTCTTGTTCCTCAGTCTCACCTTCTTCTGTCTCTGAGTCAGATAGGTGTAAGTGGCTGTCACACTTATATGATACCTTTTCTTTCCAGAGCCAACCTTTTGATTCATCAAGCTTTACATCTTTATTGAACACTATTTTCTTATTACTTGGATCATACAGTTTGTATGCACCAGTTTGGTGATAACCAACCATAATCATTACTTGGGATTTATCATCCAATTTCCTCCTTAGTTGATCAGGTACATGTCTGAAACATAATGAGCCAAAGATCCTTAAATGCTAAACACTTGGTTTAACTCCACTCCATGCTTCCTCTGGTGTCTTATCTTGCAGCTTTTGTAGGACTTCTATTTATGAGATATGTTGCACTAGCAGCTGCTTCACCCCACAAGTAATGAGGCATCTTCTTTTGCTTCAACTTACTTCTTATCATATTTACCAAAGTTCTGTTTTTCCTCTCTGAGATCCCATTGTGTTGAGGTGTGTATGGTGCAGTGACTTCATGACTTATGCCATTTGATGAGCAAAACTCATGAAACTTAGTGAAGGTGTACTCACCTCCTCCATCAGTTCTCAACCTGCTAATTACTTCACCACTTTCATTTTGAACTAGCAATCTAAACTTCTTAAACACACCCAACACTTCACTTTTCTTAGCTAACAAGTAAGTCCATAATTTCCTAGTGAATTCATCTATGAATGTTACAAAGTAGCTATTTCCCCCTACTGACCTTACTTCAAAAGGTTCACATACATCTGAGTGAATTACCTCTAGTTTTCTGGTTGCATTGAATGGTACCTCTGAATTGTATGAATTTCTGTCTTGCTTTCCAGTGCAACATATATCACATACTTCTTTAGGCAATTTTAATTTTGGCAAGCCTTGCACCATCTTCCTTTTATGCAACATATTCAAATTCCTAAAATTGATGTGCCCATATCTTTGATGCCATAACCAGTCTTCATCCTTAGTCTCAGACAACAAGCACTGGTCTTCAATCACATTTATGTTGATTCTGATGGTTCTTTGCTTTGACACTGGAGCTTTAATAATCAACCTATTTTTGTTATCAAAGACATTCATAGCTTGTGCTTCCATCTTCATAGTGTATCCCTTTTGTAATAATTGGCCAATACTAATTAGGTTGTTCTTCATGTTTGGCACATATAACACATCAGTAATGCAAGCTTTCTTGCCATCCTTCCTATTGATCAATATTTTCCCAATGCCAGCTGCACACACTATGCTATTGATTGCAAATCTTATCTTTCTGTTTACTGATTCATCTAGTTCAGAAAACCAAGATTTCTTGCCTGTCATGTGATTTGAGCACCCAGTATCTAGGTATCATTCATCACTTCTTTCTTCTTCATCCTTAACTGTTACCATCAGCAATACTTCATCCGAGTCTGACTCCTCATTCTGAGCAAACTAAGCCTCATCTTTGCTCCTTGGTACCTTCTTTGATTTGCGTTCAGATGCATAATGCCTCCACTTCTGGCAATTATAGCACTGAATCTCTTTCTTGGATTTTCCTTTCTTCACATACTGGGCCTGCAATGCTTTATCCAAAGATGCACCTTTGCCTCTTTCTTTGATCCTATCAGTCAGCCTCAGTTCATGTGCCTCCAGGCTTGCCTGCAATTCTTCTATCTTCATGAAGTTTAGATCCTTGGACTCCTCCAATGCAACCACAATGTGATCAAATCTTGGTGTTAGAGTTCTGAGAACCTTTTCAACCTTCATCACATCAGTGAAAGTTTCACCATTCCTTGTCATTTGGTTTGTGAGAGTGATCACTTTGTCCAGATATTGGTTGATGGTCTCCTCTTCTTCCATTTTCAGCACTTCATACTACCTTCTCAGTGCTTGAAGCCTCACCTTCTTCAATTTTCCATCACCAGCATACAGTTTCTCCATTGCATTCCATGTTTCCTTTGCACTTTCATAATGCATGATCTTCTCAAAGATTTCACTGCTTACACTTTGATGTATCAAGAACATGACTTTCCCATCCTTCTTCTTCAGTTCTTTGTGAGCAGTTTGTTGTTCCTCGGTTGCACGTGCTGCTAAGACTGGTATTCCTTCATTCACCACTTCAAGAACCTCCTGAAACCTGAAAATCACCTTCATCTTCACGATCCATTGATCAAAGTTCTTGCCTTCGAATACTGGCAGCTGCGTAGAGATGTTATTGTTGTGGTTTCCCATTCTTCACGAATCTTCTGGCAGCAACTATCGAACCGGGCTTTGCGATACCAATTTGATAAAACAAAGAATACAAAATGCCACAAAGTGTTTGTTGAAAGTTCTGTATTGAATTGTTATGAATGCTTAACAAACAGAGATGACAAAAAGAGAATGTAGCTATCTGGTTTTACACTTGCAGCATTAACCATCAAAACCATAGGCATAGTATTTATATAACAGTAGTAATCCTAACTAACTAACTAACTGAATTACATAAACTAATAAACTAATAATATGTGGGTTTCTAGCAAACATAAATCTCAAGATAAAATACAAGGGATAAGTAAACAATCATTATGATTCATGATTTCTTTTATTCATTTTTCTTTAAATTGTGCTAGGAAGATCATCTATACCTTATTTCAAGCAACAATTACCGGACAAAAACTAGTAAGTGTTATAGACGGATAGGAAATAAGACCAAAAACACTGAATGATACAAATGCTTTCTGCAAACTATAAGTTAGACTATCTAATATAATAGAGGAAGGTGAACAAATGCATACCATGTTGGCGAGCTTCCTCCAGTGAAAGTTCGAACACACGAATTGCACGAGGAGTAAATGGAATCTCGACATCAACAATTGCACTACCTCTTCCAATTATCTTCTCCACTTCAACACGTGCATCTTTCAGGTTAATTCCCATAGACTTTAAAACCTTGGCGGCGATACCAGTGCCTTCAGCAATAAGACCCAAAAGAATCTGCTCAGTTCCAACAAAATCGTGACCAAGAGTTCTTGCTTCCTCCTGAGCTAGCAATATCACTTTGATTGCTTTCCCTGTGAAACGCTCAAACATGGCTCTAGGTATGAATCTCTTCGCCCTTGTCTGCCGTGAAGAAACTGCCTTCGATACCTTTGAGTGAAAATCCAGTCCAGGTCTCAGCATAGTATTCAAATGATTGAAAGTACGAAGTCCTGAGAAACCTCCGCTTGTTCGCAAAGCACACATCATCTTGACTGAACTCTTAGATTTTCCCGATCCCTCATGTTGACTGTGCTTGTGCCCAGCCACTAGGCCAGGAACACTAAGTGACTGAGCCAAAACTCTAGCCATAATTCCTGAATATTCGGCCGCATTCATTAATAAAACATATTAGCCAACAATTAATACTCTTGAAGCAAAAGAATGCATAAGCAAATGAGATAAATCATTAAGACAACAATTCCTCATAAGAGTATAAAGGAAAAATAAAAAATCAAACAGATATTCAATAAAATAATATATTTCAGTAAAAAGTGTTACTAGATCACAAAATAGTAATAATTTAAACTTCAAGTATGAATTCAGGATTACAAAGAAAAGTCATCAACAATAACATAGTTAGAGCCAGGAAATTTAATACTGAAAACCCTAAACAAAACAAACACAAAATAATTGGGGAAAAGTTGAATTACGGAATCAGCAACATCGATTATAGTTGCAAATCCAAGAAGAACAAACAAGTAACAAACAGTAACAAAATTGAAAGAGAAAAAAAAAACTTACCGGAAGCAGTTCCCCAGAAATACGGATAAGATAAAACGAATCAAGCAAGAAAAATAAAAAAGATTGATATTTAAGAATTTAGTAAAAAGAGACCTGAAGAAGCAGATAAGGGAGAAGAAGTTGTTTTATAATGATAGAGGAAGCGAAGTGGAGGAAGGAATAAAATTGTGGTGGCAAATGAACTCGGTCACTAGATAATAATAATAACAATAGGATTATATTTAGATATTTTTATTATCTATCGGATCGGAACTTCCTGTGTACCCTCTTCCACTGAATACGTGACACGTAGCCGGCTCCAGATTCATAATTTTTTATATTCATCTAGTCGCATCTTTGCGTCGTTTTATGGTTTACTCCTCAACAAATAGTCCAAGTGCGTTATCACACACTGCCTTATTTATTTTTAATCCTAATTTTTGTCTATTTTGCATTTTGATCCTTCTGCGAGGGTAACCTCGACATTAGCCATTTATAGTTTCTTTGCTAATTTTGATTTTCCGTTATATTTATAACTGCCGTATCTAAATTAGTTTCATTTCATTTCTAATCACAGTAAAACACAACTTTATGACAACAAACTTCACCTCACTCACACCGAAGCTATAAGCTAAATTAGCTTGTTAAACATTTTAATTAAATTATTAATTGTTAATCCATGTATCTTTCTCTTTAACTATTCATTTTCTTGTATTGAGGATTTTGAGTTTCGCCATGGGAACAATAAATGTAAACGAAACGTTATTTAAATCGATGACATTCATTAATGAATCATTGTTAAGTGTTGGTTCTAATCGAAACTATCAAGTTTGCATTGCTGCTCCTCCCAATATTCTCTCTGATGGCATATGGGGAGATCACAAAATCGGAAATAGTCCGTTAAAATCATCTTTTCCGGTATTCCTTCTTCAAATCGTTATAATTTACACGGTAACCAGAGCTTTAAGTTTCCCTCTCAAGAAACTTGGTTTACCAATCCTCATTTCGCAAATGATGGTAAGCCATTTTGTTAATAATCACAAAACTTTTCAACACATAATAAAATTAAGAGCATTTGTTGAATTCGGTTTATATGATCATGCATGAGCATGGGAAATTAATTTGTGTGATTATTTTTTTTGTAGACCGGGCTAATTTTAGGACCAATGGTGCCTGGATTTGAGGACTATAAAAAAAAATTGTTTCCGTATGGAAGTCAAGATACACTTGCAACAATAACAGCACTTGGTTATGTGTTCTTCTTATTCGAAACCGGTATAAAAATGGATTTCAACTTGATTGTAAAAACGGGAAGAAAAGGATGGGCGATTTCGCTTATCGGGTTAATAGCTCCCATGGTAATTGGTTTTGGTACCCGTCATTTAACGATTAGGAGTGATTTTGAAAATAGTCCTCTTGAAGGAGATATTATAATGGTAGGACACAATACAACTTCATTTGCAGTTATTGTTTCTCTTTTGAATGACCTTAAACTTCTAAACTCTGAACTTGGAAGATTAGCATTATCTGTCGCTTTGGTTGGCGACTTATTCAGTAACATTTTTGTAACTATTTCATCTACTATGATTAGTCAGAATCAGTGTATTCCAATTGGCCTGAGGTTTGCATATTTAATTGGCATGGTTGTCTTCATTTTGTTTATCTATCGTCCTGCCATGTTTTGGATTGTTGAACATACGCCCGAAGGGAAAGAAGTTAAGGACATTTACATCAACATTGTTATTGGGACTCTCTTTGTTTTGTGTTGGATTTCAGGACAATTAGAAAGAGGTCCTGTTTTTCTACCTTTTGTTTTCGGATTGGCTACGCCTGCAGGACCTCCATTAGGATCTACATTGATTAAAAGGGTTCATTTGTTAGGCATAAAATTGTTTTTGCCAATTTTCATGTCTACTAGTACAATGAAGATGGAATATGGCTTCTGGAATTCAGAATCATCTCCCACACTTAATATTGTTTTGTTTGTTTTCTTTAGTGGTTATTTTGTCAAAATGGTAACATGTTATCTAGCTTCAGTCTTTTTCAAAATGCCTTTGAAAGATGGTATCGCTCTTGCCCTACTTTTGAACTGCAAAGGTGTTGTGGAAGTAACCATGTATTCTACTGCATTGGACAGAACTGTAAGTACTTAAATTTGTCAGAAACTTTCTAGCATGTTTTTTTTCACCGACAATGCATAACGTATACATGTTTGTGAATGCAGGATATTCGTTTGAAAACATATTGTATAGTTATGATATTTATCATGATTTCAATTTGCGTGACTCATTTGTCGGTAAAGCGTTTGTATGATCCTTCAAGGATATATGCTGGCTACCAAAAACGGAACCTATTTAATATGAAACTCAACTCAGAACTGAAGATACTAGTTTGCATTCATAAACAACACCATGTAACTTCTATCACCAGATTTATTGATCTATGTTACCCTATAGTAGAAGATCCTGTCACCGTAGACGCCATACATTTAATCGAATTAGCGGGAAGGTCCTTGCCAATTTTCATTTCTCACAGGAAGAAGAAAGTTGCTGCTTTAAACTTGTATGACTCTTATTCTGATAATGTTGTTCTTAGTCTCAAACTATATGAAAATGATAAACAAGGTGCAGCAATTATAAACCCTTACACTGCAATATCTCCGGTTAACTTAATGCATGAAGATATTTGTCACCTAGCATTGGACAAGGTTTCATCAATTATGATCCTTCCTTTTCATAGAAAATGGTCAAGTGATGGAAAAGTTGAATATGATGATATGAACATAAGGGCTATAAACTGTAATGTCTTGGAAAAATCTCCATGCTCAGTTGGAATCTTAGTGACTCGCGTTGTTCATCCAGCAGATTCAGCGCTTCGATTAGCCTTGGTGTTTTTGGGTGGAAGAGATGATAGAGAGGCGTTATGTTTGGCTAACCGGGCGGCACGAGACACTAGCATTGAGCTTGTGATATATCACATTGTAGACAAGAACAAAATTGGAAAGGAAAAGGCGAATTTGGATGCAACGCTTGATATAGCAATGTTAAAAGATATTCAGGCAGAACAATCTAGAATGGGAAATGTAACATATAGAGGAATAGAAGTGGAGGGTGGATCACAAACAGTTGATGTTCTTCGCCAAATGGTAGATGAACATGATTTTATTATAGTTGGGAGAAGACATGGAATCAATTCTCATCAGACTTCTGGACTTGAAGATTGGAGTGAGTTTCCTGAGTTGGGTCCTGTTGGAGATTATTTGGCTTCCTCAGATCTTGATTGCAAAGCATCTGTTTTAGTGGTGCAACAACAAATATGCCTATAGTTGTAGATATATATTGGTTACATGAAAAGAATGAGGCACTTTTTTGTTGTGTAATTTCTTTAATTTTATAGTGATGATAGTGTTATATTTTAAATCAAATTGTCAAATTTTGTTGGTTATTACATATTTTACTTTCTCTTCTAACAATATATATTTTATGATTAAGTCATATGTAATGTCATTATATAATCTCTCATCTTACTTTTAACAATTTATATCCCCACTTGTGTTTCATGACATTTAAAATAAATAATCAATGGTCTTGAGCAAAAATTTATAATACAAAAAGTATAAACAGAATTTTAAGGAGATGAAGAGAAAATAAATAAAGAGTAAACATACAATTTGTTATTTAATTCGATCAAATTGATTTATTCCGAAAAAGAGATTAATTTTAAAAAAAATTGTAATTCAAAATTTATTACAAAAAATTATAAGATGAGTTAAAAAAATATTATTTCAAATGTATAAAAACGTCCCCTATTTTCTCCTCAAATGTTTCTTAATTTTCTTAGATTCTCCCAAAAATCTTCTAGTTCTTAGAATAATAAATTATAATAATATTTTTATTTGTCTCTTCAAATTTGTCTTTTCTAAAAACTTTCCCAATGACAGACATATCCAAAAAATTGTTGAAAAACGTCTTTTATTTATAATAGATAAAACATATTGTGTTACCGTGTAAGTTGTGGGACGCAATGCATTCTCATGAATCTTTCTGCTAAGGTTTTGAAACCGATCACTAGAATTCTCCATTTTCCCTTCAAAAACAGCAATGATATCCATTACCCATCAACCACCTTGATACTCTCTCCAAAACTTGAATCACTCTCCAATAAATTTAACTAAGTTCAAGCACCACTTAAACCTTAATCGAGATAATGATTTAGTGAACACATGCTCCAAATTCTCTTTCGAAACCATCTTATGAACTACAATTTTCCTTGACTCAATCATGTCTTTTATGAAGTACAAATGAATGTTAACGTGCTTTGTCCTCTCATGATAAATTTGATGATTGACAAAGTGAATAACATTTCGACTATCACAATGTATCTTCATATATTCTTGAGGATCCCTAACTTTTCAATCATGTCTCTCAACCATATGGATTCCTCAACTCCTTCAACGAGGGAAATATATTTTGCTTGTGTAATAGATAATGCAACCATTGGTTATTGATTTACCTCTCAAATTATAGTTGTTTCAAATAACGTAACTCAAATATCGATAAGGAGTTTTTAGTGTTTAAATTTTTCTCATA